TCCTTAATTTCAGGCATTTTGTCAGACACATCTTTAAGGGCAGTTGTAATTTTTTTCTTGCAAAAGCAAGGCTTGTGCCTTTAAAACTCCTTGGAGGGTTTCAAATGTCACTGTTTGTGTATCCGCTAAAGGTAATAAAGATTGCAATTTAGATGGCTGGGCTAGGAGACTTCCAGCACTCTTAGAGGCACTTATTTTTATTTGTTTTGAAGCAATTTACAAATATTCAAATCACACTTTCCAGCAGCCAAATTATTGAGTCCAAAAAATCCACTTAATCCCCAAACTTGTTAGATCTTATAGTTTATTAGTAAACCAATACTGTTTTTTAAAATCTTGAGATCTTGATTCTTTTCATGACATTAACAAGCACTTAACAAATACTTTCCTTTTAAGTTTCACTTTCACCACACCCTTTGACTTCCAGACGCCATCTTTATTACTCTTTGTTCTCCTCAATCTTCACAGAAGGAAGTGATACTGCATCGGAGTTAAAGTTTGTACTTGCAATTATAATCACTCCTGTCTTTGCTCTGCCTGCTTCTTATTCAAGTGTAGATTAAAACATTGATTGCAGGGATGGCTGTGGCGTTTTGTTCTGCTGCAGCAGAAGCATCCCGGGATGCGGAGCTTTGTCGGGCTGCTGGGGGGCTCTCACCCTCCGAGCCCCAGAATTGCTCCTGGGGGTCTATGAGGAGCTCTACCCTTGCCTGGCTGCTCACCTCCCCCTCTTTTCCCGAGGTGAGAGTTTTCAAGCCGCTTGACAGCTGATTTACGCTGTTCTAGCAGCTTAAACGTGATCACGGGGCTGGCGTTCCCACAGGAACGTCCTTCAATGCCTACGGTGCCACTGGAAGTCTACACCATTTATAAAGCAGGAAATAAGGTAGAATTAGACTGGCTTTTTCAACTAATCAAAATACTTTTTTCTTAATTTTTATATTTACTTACCATTTGATGTTTTGCAGAACCTGCAATAACAAGGCTTTATAAGTTCGTTCTCTTCAATGAAGCCATATAGCTCAGGTCCTTTTCTTATTCTATGCCCACACTTGGGAGGTTTGGGGGTCAAATTTACATCAAACAAATCTCCATCAGAGGTTGCCATTTTCAACAGACTGCTGGAATTAAGGACTACCTAAGCACAAACTACCCAGCCCTTGCAATGACAAGTCCTTGAGCCTTGTGCATGCCCAGAATCATGGGGGTGGGGGTATGACATGCCAGGGCATGTCCCTGGCATGGCTGAACAAGGCTTAACCCCTACATGCTGCCTGGCTGCTTGCCTCTTGTGAACATTTTAATTCCTGTTAATATTCCTTGTCCTTTGCTGTAGGTGAGTAGAATAAATTTTATTAAGGCCGAGTTATGTGTACATGAGGATTTGAGGGTGCAATTAGCAAAATATGTCTCTTTAGATTTTTACAAAGGTAAAAACCTGTTGCGGGTTTTAAAAGGGCTGTGTCCCGTCCCGTCCCCCGCCCCGCCCCCCTGCATTTGAGGAAATGTTTTAAAAACTGCCTAGAAATAAATACCTTTTAGAAAAAAAGTGGGGTTAAATGCAGGCCCTGGCTGCCTTTTAGGTGCTCCTTTTCCCCCAGCTTTTGAAGCATTGATTTTAAAACGCCACAAAAATTAAAATCATAATTAGGCTAGAATGATTAGAAATAAAAAACATTTTTTATTTCACAGCCCCCTTGAATGTCCATATAATTAGTCTAGGGTTAAGCTAATCATGTACCCAGAGGCTTGACATCTTTCTTGATTCAACACGTCTTATCTGAAAAATAGGGCTATGACCTTGCACCACACCTTATCTGTTAGGGTTACTCATGCTTATCTTGATGGGCTTAGGCCAATATGTCATATTCGGTTAGAGTTATGAGTTCTGCACCACGTTGGGATAGATTATGGACATCACATCTGGGGAGGAGAGCTATGCACATCATATCCGGAGGGCGGGGGCTGTGCACGGCACTTCCGCTTAGGGGCATGATTTGGTGATGTAATCAACACCTAGGTTTGTTTACTTTGATGACATCACTGATCAAAAGTACTGATAATTTTCATTTTAAAAAGGTATACACTATATACACTAAGTATACACTAAGGATGTTATTGAGAATTTGGATATGTAGCAGTGTTGCTATACTTTAAAATCCTAACTTTAGGTAGTTTGAACAAAGAATAAACCTTATGTAAATTGTATAATATGTCATTCATAAGTTATATGCTAGCCTACATTATGGAAAATTACAATTTATTATATCTCACAATCCACCCTTTTACTTTTACCCTGTCAGAATTTGTTGCAGAAAAATCAAATCCAGAAAGCACACACAGATAACTGATTCAGCTGGATTCATTAACTTCTTTATATACATAAGAAAAGATGAATAAATGTACAATACCAACAGGTCAGTGGTGGGTTCCTAACTGGTTTACTACCGGTTCGCTGAAAGAGGATATGAACATGTTATGTTCACCCATCAATTTCATTTCCTTGTCCATGGCTTCTTTCCACTTTACTTGTTCAGTTTTAGGTAATGCCAATACTTCCTTATAGTTTCTTGGCTCATACCATACCTTACACACTTTAACTTTACTAGCAGAATACCTGTCTGGTGGATTCCCCTTGATCCATCGCTCTGACCTGCGTGGCATTGACTCCTCCTGTGCTTCAACCCTCTCTTGCTTCATATCTTGTTCAGCTTCTCCTCTCTGAACGCTGATACCACCACTAAGTGAATTACTATCACTAAGTGAATCATTCCAAAAATTTCCATCAATTCTGTTCCAATTTTGCTCTGCAAAGCTAGCCAACCTGGAAATCACTATTCTCTTGCTTCCACCGCTAAAACGATAGCTTTTTGAACCTGGCTCATAGCCCATAAACCTGAGCTTTCTAGCCTTTGGTTGTCCCTTTCTCCTAATTGACTTTGGAATACGCACCCATGCATTGCTTCCAAAAACTCCAGTGCCAGAGATGGCTTTCTCCCATATAGCACTGTATATGGAGTATCATTAATGGAGGAACTCCACAGACTATTAATTAAATAATTAGCCAACATGGCTTCACCCCAGTATGAGCTGCTCAGACCACAATCCTCCAGCAGTGAGTCCTTCATGGTTTGTAAGACTATATTCCATCTTTCAGCAAAACCATTCTCAGCTGCTGTGTATGGATTTGTGCATCTGTGTTTGAAAACTTGCTGACATGAATTCTGAACCTCTGTCAGTTTGCAGCTAACATGCCTGTTGCTTATATCTCCTTTCAACAAAGTTTACCCATTGCTTATATTTCTGTAGCACCTCTATTTTACTCTTTAGTAAATAGCAGAACCCAAACCTGCTGTAGTAATCTACAATGACCAGCACATAATTTGCTCCTCCCAAACTGGCTTGCATTGACCCAACCAAATCTGCATGTACCAGCACTAGAGCTCTTGTTGTCTGCCTTGTGCTACTTTTGCTCACTGGGAATGCCTTGGACTTTGATGATTTGCATACTGCACAGTCCAAATATGCCTTACATCCCTTTAAATTTAACTCTTCTGCAAACTGTTGCATTTTTTGCAAAACTCTGAAGTTGGTATGGCCAAGCTTCCTGTGCAAGAGATGAACACATGAATCATGTGGTGCCTCATTCCCAAATGTTTGGGCACATTGAATCTTTTGTCCCTGCAACACATAAAGATTATCCTCTTTTGTGCCATGTACACATACATTCCCATTTCTCTTTATGAGAAACGTTCCATTTGCAAATGTGGTCTCAAATCCTTGCTTGTCTAAACTAGAGACACTTAGCAATTATGCTCCATTTAAGGTACACATAATACATCATTTAACTTCGTATCTAGATATGGAATTTGCACACTGCCTCTTCCAATGACTTTAGCCTTCTGGCCATTTGCCAAGGCTACTGCATCTCAAGCAGCTGGATCCATTCTGTAAAACAATTTAGAATTATTAACAATTGTTTGGCTTGCCGCACTGTCTATCAACCATTTGTCTCTACTATTGCAATAGCTAACTTTTGCAAAAGCAACTTGTCCATCTTTTGATTGCAAATAATTCTTGTCTTGCATATAATTTCTTTCTTGCAAATAGTTGCTTTTTCTTTGCAAACAGTCCTTTTGCAAATGAGTCACACACATCACCACAAATGCAGCACCACCTCTGTTGCTGGGCTGTTTCTTTCTTCATAGAAAATATTTGCTGGGCTGTAATCTGATCTCTTCTGCTGTTAACAGCCAGCCTGTGGAATTTTCTGCTGCTCTTATCTCTTTGCTCCTTGGGCCCCCACCTCAGGAA